GGGTATAAGGGCTGGAATGTCGGATCTGGGAGTTTATTCCACAAAAGCTCACTCACAGCCTGCGGGAGGCTTACCCCTAGTTAGCCGGCGAAGCGGGGACTTTAGGGAATGGGAACGCAGTTGTGCTGTGATGGAGGGAGAAATCCTAAATATGTGGCCATATTTGGGGAAGCGTATAAATGCCATCTACGATAGTAGTGTTAGAAAAAAGTTTCGGACGTGATATTTGTCCAAGATACAATAGGATATCAGGCAACGCAATTGTTTTGGTTCTTCAGAAAATGTTCACCACAATAAGCCAGACTCGCCAGAGTATTTCACGCTGGAAACAATGTAGGTTGGTAATGTTCTTTTTTGTTAACAACGGAAACCACCTGGTAAATCAGAAGGCGAGAAAGAGACACTAATAAAACCTGTTTTTAGGGCGTGAGGTTACAACAACTAGGTGCACTTTAATCAAATACAATACCAAGAATAGAAAGGTTCAACGGAAATACTTATCGTTCTGAGTGTGAATTGTAATAGTTCCACCGAGTTCGTTTGGGTGCAGGTAGTCGTGTTTCTTTTGGCAGGTTCCCTACTACACGATCCCGGTTGTCCGCAGTTTTTGGTGCCAGAGCCGGTTTGTGTTCCGACGCGCGAGTGACGCTTGTGTGTGTGTGCTTGATTGTGTTCTGTCCTTATATATAGATCGTTTCAATGAATGGGACATGAAAACAATGTGAAGTCACCTGGTGTCGTTCAAAAGGTCATGGAACGGGATTTGGTATATAGTCGTATTCATGTCACGATTTTGACGCGTGATTGTGAGACAAACGAAATGGAATGGGGGTAGCAGGTGCCGGTGGGAAATTGATTAAAGGAGTAGTCAGGCAGAAGGGGAAGCGTTACAAATACTCCCCCTTTAGAGATGGATAATATAGGCGCCATCATCAATCCGGAAAAGTCACGTCTTGTCTGGTGATGCACGTCGTGGGATTGGAACAAAACAAAGCACGAGAGAGACAGTGGATGCGGATGCACTAATCAGATTGGACAACCGCTACAAATACTCTCCCCCTAATGAAAAGGAACACAAATAATAAATAGCCGCTTGGACGTTCGGTGTGTCAAATTGTGGTGAAATAGTTGATGTCAACTTGCGATGAAATGGTCTGGCCAGTGCACGTTTCTGCCGGAACGAGTGATGTGGTGAGTTCGTGCAGGGTGCCGCTTGTAGATTTGGGAGACGTGCGTGCAGCGTTATCGATGGGCACTTTGAGTTGTGGACCATCAGGGACACTTGACTCAAAAGAGTCGAGATAAGCAGGTTTCAGGCGATCAATAGAAATGTTTTCCTGCTTACCATGTAAGTGAACAGTAAAATATTTGTCATTCTGCAAAAAAACACGGAAAGGACCGGCATATGGAGTTTGTAGGGGTGGTTTAACACGGTTGGAACGTATAAACGCAAATGGACAAGCTGCGAGGTCAGGGGCGGCATAAGACGGTTTGCTTGGTGTTGGTGGTGAAGAATAGCGTAGTTGTGACATGTAAGGCTTCAAGTTAGTAACGTAAGTGACCGGGTCACCAGGAGTATGTGAATCTGAATTGAAAAATTGTCCTGGGATACGGAGAGTCGTTCCGAAGACTAATTCAGCGTGTGAAAAATGCAGTACGTAAATGAAGAATTTTAATGGGCAATTGGTCATACCAGTTCAATGGGTTGTCTTGAGCTCGGAGAGCAGTCTTAAGGTGTCGATGAACGCGTTCAACTAAACCGTTTGCTTGTGGATGATATGCAGTGGTCCAGATGCACTTACATCCAAGCAGTTCCGTCAAACGCTGGAAAAACTGTGATTTGAACGGAGACCCACGATCCGTGGTTATGAGAGAAGGTACCCCAAAAATGGAAATCCATCCATTGTTGAATGCGCGAGCGATGTTATCTGCGGAAGTGTCAGGTATTGGGATGGCTTAAGGCCATCGTGTAAAGCGATCGACACAATTGAGGTGATATGAGAATGAATTGGATGTCGGGAGAGGACCGACCGTATCTGTGAGGACGTGGTCGAATCAACCGTCTGGAGTGGCGAAGGTACCGATGGGTGAATGGGAATGGCAAATCACTTTTGAACGCTGGCAAGCTAGGCAAGTTTTTGCCCATGAACGAATGTCTTTGTTCACATTCGGCCATACATAACGTTGTGAAATGAGTTTGACCGTCGATCATGTACCAGGGTGCGAAACGTTGTGCAGAGCGTCGAAAACCTGGCAGCGCATTGCTTGTGGGACTACAGGTCTTGCAGTGGGTGTAGAAACATCGCAGTCTGTGGTACCTGGTACCATACGTAATGGTACCGGCTTGACGGCGAAATAACTGGCTCGTCCCGTTGTAGCTGAGCCATACGTTCGTGGGCGTTGAGTGGATGAAGCCAACTTCCGGACGGGACAACGCGTCTGCCACGATATTAAGATGGCCTGATATATGGCGGATATCGTTGGTGAATTGTGAGACAGTCAAGTTGGCGTAATTCACGAGGAGAATATCTGTCAGGTTTGGCCAGTAGTGCAAAAGTTAGAGGTTTGTGACAAATTGTCTACCTCCAAGGAAATGACAAAAATGTCTAATAGATGAACACATGGCAAGTAACTCTCGACCAAAAGTACAGTAGCGGGGTTCTGTAGGTGACAGTTTCCTGTAAAAGAATCCGAGCGGTTGTATTGCACCCTGAACCGACTGTTGTAGGACTGCGATGTTTGATGCATCAACAGCAAGTGATAAATGGGCGTCAGGTTGCGGATGAAATAACTTCAAAGAATCAATCAGCAATGTTTTAACCTGTTCAAAATATCGGTTAAGACAGTCATCAAACTTCAGCTGCTTATGAGGAGGATTTCCAACTAACAGGATAGTAAAGGGTGCCAAATGTTTCGCCGCGTCCGGAATAAAACGGCGATAAAAATTAATCATATCAAAAAACGTTTGACTTGCTTAACAGAGCGGAACATTGAGGATAGCATCTAGTCTATCGATGGCTGGCGAAATCACGGTATTGTCCATGGTATGTCCGAGAAATGACATTAAAGATGTAAAAACGCATTTCTGAACTTTAACTACTACGACAAATTCAGATGGACGAGTAAATAAGCGACGCAAATGCTCTATTCATTATTCTTTTGTTTTAATATTCCATATGCTGTACGTATTCACCAATTCGAATACATACTTGCTGGTTGTTACGCTGCGCTGAATTCTGTATTTCTAGTTCGTCTGGTTATACCGATATACGTACGAAACTCAATTCTCACAGAAGGCCAAAACTCATGTGCAAAAATTCAAAGAACCCAAAAGGTGTGGTGTTAACATTTTTATGAGCATCTCCGGGATGTATGGGGATATGATGATAAGCACGGAGAATGTCAATGTGGAAAACACGGTGTATCCGTGCAATGTGGAAGAAAAATCATGAATGTGTGGGATGGGGTAACGGTCAGTTATGGTGACACTAGTGAGTGCTCGATAGCCTCTGCAATGGCGCCAGTCGGAAGATGACTGCTGGGGAACCATATGAAGGGATGAAGTCCACATACTCTGAAAAGATCGGATGATGCCTAGCTGGAGCATGTGTCGAAATTCGTCTTTGGCTAACTGTAATTTCTCTTAAGCCAAACGACGTAGGCGTTTAAAAACCGGAGGACCACGCGTATGAATGTGATGAACAACGGAGTGTTTTGGTTTGAAGTCATGAAAATTTGGTTTAGTCAAGTCTGGGAACTGATTTATTTGTGCGTGATAAGGTGAATCGCCGCTTTTAAAACATGTGATTGGATAGACGGAGGGCAGAACGATAGAATGTCCTTTCGTAGATAGTTGAGTATTTGCGTCAATAAGACGTCGTTATCTCAGGTCTACCAAAAGGTTGAAATGGGTGAGGAACTCTGCGCCGATAATGGGATACTGGACGTCAGCCATTACGAAGCTTCACGGGAAATCGCGGAGTGACACAAGGCTTAGTCGTAGAGTGCACTGTCCACAAGTTTTATTCGGGGAACCATTCGAGGCTGTAAGTGTAAAAGAAGAGGGGATGGGTTTGCGGGAAACGGCACTTACACGAAAAATGCTGATGTCAGCCCCAGTGTCTACCAAAAATTTGAGACTGGAGGGTCTGTCGACAATTGTAAGACGGCGGGCTGGATGGGTTGGGCTTAGAACTTTGCTCGCCTCTAGTTCGGCCCGTGAGTTTCCCGACGTTAACTGAAGAGTCGGATGATTTGATCGGAAAGTACATGGTTGTGAACACTTCTGGGGTCTGTCTGAACGTACCATGGTACCGAAAAGCGGATGGCGAAACTGTTGATGTCGGTTTATACGAATAGCTGCAAGCCGATTAGCCAGCTGATCGAGTCGATCATGAAGGACGGACACTGAATCTGAAGTGCTTATAGAGGACACGTTAGCGGAACATGGTTGAATTTCGAGTATCTTGTCCGCAATGCTGGCCAGTCCAGCTAAAGGGACACTATCGTGGATGGACGCCAGGATGGTTTGTACTTGTGGGGTAGGCTTTTCAGAAAGAATTTGTTGTTTGAATAAAGCGTCATCAATTTTACGGTATCCCATGATATTATAAAGCCTCCGTAAAAGTTGAGATTGGGTAGACTCGTTCAGTGATTCTCCGCTGAGTAGCTGTTCCAGCCTCTTGTGTTCTGTTAGACTGCAAAGTTTAATGAATGTATCGCGCAACTGAGTGTAGGGTTTAGTGTCGTCAGGGGTCTGCAGTATATCGCGGAATTCTGCTGCTATCTCTGATAGAAGCACCGCTAGAACGTGATAATACATAGTACGTTCTTGAGTGATTCCACAGAGGACGAACTGAGCTTGCACTTGGGTTGACCATATAGAAGGATCATCGTGCAAAAACGGTGGAAAATGGATGGAGACGGCATTCATGTTGGGTGCGAATGTGATGGGCGTTGGAGAAGTAACGTGATGTGAGAGTGATGAGATGGCTAATAAACTAGGAAACGGCACTTACAGGGATAATGCTGATGTCAGACCCAGGGTCTACCAAAGATTTGAGACCGGAGGGTTTGTCGATGATTGTAAGACGGCGGGTTATATGGGTTGGGTTTAGAACTTTGCTCGCCTCTAGTTCGGCCCGTGAGTTTGCCGACGTTGACTGAGTAGTGGGATAATTTGGTCGGAAAGAACATGGTTGTGAACACTTTCGGGCTCTATGTCCGAACGTACTGTGGTACCAACAAAATGCTTGTTCTCGGGAGGACGAATGTGACCGGGAAGTTGAACGTGAACGAAAAGGCGGACGACGAAATGGTTGATGTCGGTTTATACGAATAGCTGCGACCTGATCAGCCAACTGATCGAGTCGATCGTGAAGGGCAGACACCGAATCTGAGGTGTTTACGGAAAAGACGTTAGCGGAACATGGTTGGATTTCGAGTATCTTGTCCGCAATGCTGGCCAGTCCAGCTAAAGGGACACTATCGTGGATGGACGCCAGGATGGTTTGTACGTGTGGGGTAGGCTTTTCAGAGAGAATTTCTTGAATAAAGCGTCATCAATTTTACGGTCCCCAATGATATTATAAAGCCTCCGTAAAAGCTGAGATGTGGTGGACTCGTTCAGTGATTCTCCGCTGAGTAGCTGTTCCAGCCTCTTGTGTTCTGTTAGACTGCAAAGTTTAATGAATGTATCGCGCAACTGAGTGTAGGGTTTAGTGTCGTCAGGGGTCTGCAGTATATCGCGGAATTCTGCTGCTATCTCTGATAGAAGCACCGCTAGAACGTGATAATACATAGTACGTTCTTGAGTGATTCAACAGAGGACGAACTGAGCTTGCACTTGGGTTGACCATACAGAAGGATCATCGTACCAAAACGGTGGAAAATGGATGGAGACGGCATTCATGTTGGGTGCGAATGTGATGGGCGTTGGAGAAGTAACGTGATGTGAGAGTGATGACATGGCTAATAAACTAGGGCTCACCAATTATTAGTATTATTTTTTTAACAATGGAAACCATTTGGTAAATCAGAAGGCGAGAAAGAGACACTAATAAAAAGGCCAATTGCCGTCTCCTAGGAGAAGCCGCCCGCACTGTGGAATTGTGAATGGAGATATTCAGCTTCTCTAAAGGCACCCGAAGTTGAAAGGAGGCTATTTGGAAAGAAATAAAGGTCGCCTTCGTAAATACATCCATGAGTCTGAAGAGCAGGACAACGGAGCCCATCTGACATTAAGTGCGAATGCTGTAACAGCAATCTTCAAACACTTGGGACTAGCGGTTCTTCGCCTCCATGTTGAAAGGGTGTATATAACACAGTTATGCTAAACAGGACGTGGTATACTAGTCCAGGGGCACACTGTGAAGTTTCCGCAATGCACATAACATAGGACAGGGGTCACCCTGCGTCCAAGGTGAAAAGAAGCCGCAGGGCTTCATTTTTCAGAAATCCAATCTCCGCCGTCGGACGATAAGGATATGTGCGAGTCTAGAATTTACGGAGTGGGTGCACTTTGATTAGGTAGATGAAATGCTTCGCCTAAGGCGCACATCACCGTGTGAGAATGGACGAATGCAACGGCTCAGGCCTCCGTCAGGACTTCGAATAGCCGAAATAAAGCCTTCGGAGCTTGCATCATCTCTAGCTAACTCAGACATAACTTTTCCACTTGTGAGACTTCACCGCCACCGTGTCGTCAAAAAGTAGCCATGATCATGCCGGCACCAGGTTCTGGTGTGCCTTGTCTAGGGCTGCCTTTTATGATCAAACAGAATCTTTGTCAGGCTAAAGTGCCTTTGCAACTTGCACAGGATGGTTTGGCTGCTGGTCGATAACGGATTTGGGCTGTGGATATAATGTTCGGTTGACGATAAGAGCGAAGACGTTCAGTCGGTAGAGCCAAAGATGTTGATTGACCCGATTACCCTAATCGCCCTGGAGAGTGCCAACTATGTGTGAAACAGTAGACACTGTGGTGGCCAAGAAATGTGGCACCTGTTACGTGACCCTTGCTGTTGAGCACTGCGTTCAAAAGTGACAGCTGCATCCACTTCCAATGCCGGCTGGATTTTTTCTGCTTCGGAAGGAAGGTTTTGGGTTAATAGCATCAAAGCCTGATTCACTCTTCGGTAAACCGCCTGGAAATTTTTCCCCAGGCTTCATCGGTAGGGCACTATTCTTGTTGTTCAGAGGTTTCGTTTCACCAAAAAGAAACATCCGGAAAGTTGTGGTTCCACTCTTTAATTACTGAACCGGACAGCAAAAATATTTCACACAAAAAGTGGGCTTCAGTAGGTTCTGGGTGTAACGCAAGCAAAATGTGGAGACAGTCACTCCATGGAAGGATGACGTGGAATGCGTGAAATTACGTTTACCGCTGTTCTGCATAAACGAAGAATTCTTATCTTGGTTCAATAGGATCGAGTGCAACAAGAGTTTTTGGTCATAACTTGTTCAAGTGAAGCGTATCTGTAGGTCCGGAGGAAAAAGCGAAACTTTCCGAGTGTGCTCAGTGGCAATGTATTTGAGACCGGCCCCCAACGATTTTGTAGCCCGTTTGGCAAGCTGGATAAAGATTAAGTACCTGCTGAATCCTGGGTGTATTTCCTAGCCGATGTTTGCAATGGTCTGTCTGACTAAGGCTGCGCATTGTCCGCAGACCGAATCTTTCGAAAAGTAACGGCCATCTTTTAAGCCAATTTTTCTAGATGACATGAGAAGGATGTTGCTGATGACGGCCAGCTACCAAGATGGCTTTTCAAATTGTCCCCCTACATCGCCAATTTACATAAGAAAAGTGTTGCCAAATTCCCGGTAGGTAAGAAATGGATGTACATTTTAGTGTTTATAGACCTCCACTCCGTTAAAAATTGTTTTGCAGCACTTATGTCCATTTGAGATGTGCTTATTTCAGAACCCAAGTGCTTCATGGCATCCCGAGAACCTGGACATGGGTTTAAAAACGCCCCGGGATGGTGGCTGGCGTAGATGTAAAGTAACGGTGGTCCCAGATGGCAGCTGTGAGGAAATTTAATCAGGACCAGCACAAGTGAGATGTATATCAGTCAACCACCAAACGGAAATCTCTCATAAATCCAAAAACCTTGATTTAGTGTGAAATTTTCACTTTAGTATCATTTGCTTTTATTCCGTGAAATGCTCTTGGAAAGTCAAACTACGGCGTCTAAAATGAGTAAGGCATTTTTGTTTGTATTATACCGCGCATAAACTTGGACATATTCTTCACACAATGGTGGTTCGGAGGGTTCAAATTGACCCGAAGGTATCAGGTGATGGGGTGAGTTGGAACAGGCTGCTTCAGAACGTCCTACCCCTTCGCATTCAGTTGTGACTTGAGTGGCCCAAGGTTATATAGCCTTTTAAGGTGATGGCCTTTTCGTGAACAGAGAAAGACTTTTCCTTGTTGAGCGAAGGACGCAATATCACGTGAAAATTCTTGGCCGGGTTAAGGTTACCTTTCATCCCGCCCTAGTAGATTTACGAATGCCGTTGTCCGCCAGGTTCACAATCTCACATAAGATGAACGGAGTGGAATACAAAAAGTGCAAAGCGTTCTCAAGTGCTGGATTGCCATTCATCTTTTACAAAATCGTGCTCGAAGTCTCAAGGCTTAGTTCATGCCATTCGTCACCGGTGTGATTAGGATCTTGTAAACAAAAGGGGTCATACTTACGACGATGTGTCGCTGGGTGAGTTTAGCNGAAATTCCGAAAACCGTCTAAATTGTGCATTTGGTTCACACCGGGCAAAATAGATATGAAAAAATTTATTATCATCTTCATCTAAGTGACCCTACTCCAGCAACTAGCTGGAAATCGACTCCAAACCATAAAGTTTGATCAGACTCACCC